GAGTTGAGGTGTAGATAGCTGGACTGGAAGGACTGCCCCAAGGACATGAGTCAAGGGCCTTCTGCCAAGAACCTGACTCTTGACTCTATGTGCCACAACTCCTGATGCATTCCCTTTCCTCAGCATTGCCTTCCTTCTCCTCTCCTCAGAGGAGAAACTGGGGGGTAGAGGTTGAAAGCTTCAAACCTCTACATTTTGAGGTGTAAGTGTGCGGGTATCATAGATGAATGGATGGTAGTTTAGTCTACCAGAGGTGCTCTTCATTCCATCTATCCACCTGTTCCTTGTCTGTAAAGGACTTAACAATCAATGTTTTCAAAATCCACAATATTATACATTCTAAAATTATTATTTGTTTGGCACTCCATAGCTGTAGCAATATTGCAAGCAGTTCCATAAATTGCAGGCAGCTCTGGGAACTCTTGAATTATGTAAACTAAAATAAGAGTAAAGATAACAAACAAAATAGTTATAGACTAATCCCTTTCTGGCATCTCTGAAGTGAAAACAAGAACATGTTCCCTATAAGTTAGCCAGTGCATCTTGAGAAGTAATTAGTTTTTCATTTTCTTATTTTTTTTTTAAGAAAAGAAGTTTTCCTTTTTTAAAAAAAAAAACTGCAAGACAGTTCAACTTACACTGTCAAACTCAAGAAGACAATGAATTTGGATACACCTTATTTACCTCAAAAGCATAGATTATAGCCCAGGCATGTGCAAATTCCAGCCCTCTAGATGTTTTGGACTTCAGTTCCCAGCAATCCCAACCAGCTTACCAGCTGTTAGTAATTGTGGGAGTTGACATCCAAAACACTTGGAGGGCCAAAGTTTGCCCATGCCTGTTATAGCCAACTAGTGTCTTTGTTTTTTCTGTTCTCTCCAGCTCCCAACCAAAACCAGGAGATTTATAGAGACCCCTCTAGGTTTCATTGTTTTTGATGGACTACCCATTAGTATTGATTGTAATTGGCTCAACTGCTGTGATATAAAAAAGGCATGTACTGAACAGAGGATGTCTGGCTATCATTGCCCAATTTGCTGTAATTCTACAGATGTTTAAGCAGACTTGTTTACTTCATCACACTAGAGAATTAATCCACTTTAAATCTGGTTTCTGCCTCCTGCAGAATTCTGGGGTTTGTAGTTTAGTGAGGCTGTTAAAGGCTCCTCCCTCAACTACAAACCCCAGAATTCTGCAGGAGGCAGAATCCGGATTTAAAATGGATTCATTCTCTAGTGTGATGAGGTCCCGAGGGCTTTAGTAAGGAGAAGCCAAAGGAATGGAGAAGGAGTGATTATAGCATTAAGCAAACAGCCAACTGAAGGAAGCAAGGTAGATTTTGGAACAAGAGGTTCAAAATACAGAGAGGTTAAGAAGGATCAAAGCTGGAATCAAAAAAGGAGTCAGAGGACAAACAGTATATAGGACATGAACAAATAGGCAAAGCGTCTCCTCCAGCATTTCACAGATGAAAACTGGAACACATGTAGCCGAAGCAATGTCAGATTGTGATCAAGATAGCAAAAACGATGAGGAAGAGGGAAAACTAAGGTAGGCTACAGAAGCTGACTTTTGCCTGAGCCTACTGGATAAACCCCCTATGCCTTTCCTCAACTGAATTAATTGGATACAAAATACATTTGCACTTTGAACTCAGTTTTCAGCAACTAAAGCAGGAGTTCTCAACCAGGGGTCCACAGACAGAGGATGTCTGGCTCTAACAGACCAATTTCCTCTAATTATGCAGACTAGTAAGAAAGGCTTTAGCAAGGAGGAGCCAGGAGACTGAGAAAAGAGTGAGCATAGGATTACGCAATTCTATGCAGACTCCTTGGGGGTCCATGGAACGATGGGGGGAACCGTGACCCTGAATTGGAAAAAAAACAACTACTTATCCTTATTTTCTCTAACTGAAATCTAGCATTTTCTTCACTCATGGATGTGTGCAATGTATGTGTATTACAGAAGTCTTCATTTCATATCATGTTACAGTTCTTGCATGCCTCAAAAATGCCTATACTTTGAAATTATGGTAGTTATTAGACTCAATGCTTGATCACACGTGGTCACAGTCCTGCTGTCTACAAACTATTTAATTTAAAGACATGCTTATGCTGACTGTCATAAAACTATCAGCTGATTCATTCTGAGAAGGGATCCATGGTTTTCACCTGACTGACAAAGGGGATCCTTGGAGGAAAAAAGGTTAATAACCCTGAAATAAAATAAAAGAAGAACAGAGATGACAGGAGGAAAGAGAAACTGGGACAATTTGAACTGGGACATAAGCTATCCTTATCATCATCCAAAGTTTTTTGGTGTGGCTTGTCTTGGTGTTAACACTAAGGATCTCGTCACATGAGCAGAGGGAAAGTGGGGGACAGCAGAGGGAACTGTCGTACTCTGTTTCCCTCCTGTCGAGGTTCATCTTATGCCATCTCATGTCCTTCTCTTCTTTCCCCCTTGTTCCTCCACTTTGTGTCATTGGCACTGTGGACTCTGCTTCTCTATACTGTCAAATTGGAGTCCCACGAATGGATAAACACAACTGCTGGCAATTTTGGATTTTCTTATAACAGATGTCATGCTGAATACTTCAAATTTTGAGGCCACACCCTTGTCTATTGGTCTTTGAACTAGGTCAAGGCTACCTATTACTTTGTTCCCAGCACATTAACTAGGAAAAACAGGCACAGGTAGGCACACAAAAATACATACATGGTTAATTTGTAAGCTGCCTTGAGTCGCCTTTGGGCTTGAGAAAGGAGGGATAGAAATATAGTAAGTAAATAAATAAGCAAACTCAGCAAAATTCCATGGGATACAGCCATGGTAGCTGAAGTGAAATCATATCATTACATTTGTGTAGCATGAAAGGACCCCTCTCGGTTGCCGCACCAGCCTCATTCTGCTTAACAATAGTCTTGGCCTTAACATGAAAGGTTTACACTTAACATGAAAGGCTCATCAGAACGGGGAATTTAAGTGGCTCTTCCACCTTTTCCTGTTTTTTATTGGTGCTGGAGCCTGATTGAGTCTTTGAACTACTCTACCACTGTAGATATTTTTTTTTACAGATATGGATATGTTTGCAGGAACATATGAATAATTCCTTTCTGGATCATGTCATCTCTTTTATATAAATGATTTGCTGGGAATGGATAGAAAGGATGTGCAATTTGAAAAGGCTGGTGCAGAAGTTCCTAGTAAATTCTTCAAAAAATGAATAGTAAATTCAGTAGGTCTGAAAAAAATGTGTATCGTTTCCCAGCATTTTTTAATTTGCCTCAGAGTCCAATGATTTCTTTGCTCTTCATTAGTTAAATCTGAGCTTTTAGGGTTGCTAGTTCAGGATTGTCCCAAGTTCTGAGGTTTTTGGACTAAAATCTGAGACATGGATGTTCCCTGGTGATAACATTATCTGTTAGGCATTAAATACCAACCACAGCTTGTCGTTAAAATGCACATTTACAGAGACATAAAAAAAATTTCCTATCTGGAAAATAAGGCAGAAATCAAAACTAAGGGAACTCTGCCCTGATTAAGATGAAATTAAGTGATTTTATTCCTACTCTCTGATTTAGGGAGACAGAATAAGAGACATTTAATATAGCCTATATTTGCTAAATACCTGAAAGACACTAGACCCTTCCCCTCACCTTGAAAGTGAAACAAGTTAAACAAGTTTAGTGCTTGGATGGGAGATGACCAATGAATACCAGGTGCTGTAGGCTATTTTTCAGAGGAAGGAATTCGCAAAACCACTTCTGAGTATTCCTTGCCTAAGAAAACCATATAATTTCATGGGGGTTGATAACAAGTAATTGAAGGCACACACACACACGCCTCTAGCCTGAAGTTAGACATAGAGTAGAGAGGAGGATGAGTGTTCAGGCCACAATAAAAACAAAGGGAGGAGCTATGTAAATACTCAGACTACTTAGAACAGTGGCTTCCAAACTGTATTCCACATAACTCTAGGTAAAGGTAAAGGTTTTCTCCTGACATTAAGTTCAGTCGCATCCAACTCTGGGGGTTGGTGCTCATCTCCATTTCTAAGCTAAAGAATCGGCATTGTCCATTGACACCTCCAAGATCATGTGGCCAGCATGACTGCATGGAGTGCCGTTACCTTCCCACCTTCTACTCACATTTGCATGTTTTCGAACTGCTAGGTTGGCAGAAGCTGGGGCTAACAGTGGGACCTCATGCTGCTCCCCGGATTAGAACCTGCAATCTTTTGATCAGCAAGTTCAGCAGCTCAGCTCCACAGAACCCTAGGGCTCTGCAAAAGCATCATAGGGGTTCCATGAAAAATATTTTAAAACTTTTTAAAAAAACTTTTTTAAAGTCCATACTAGAGTATGAAGATGTTTTTGAAATTCAATGTAACTTGTCTTTGAAAACAAAATTTGAAGCTCTTTATTTCCAAACCTACTACAGTATACAAAACACCCAGACAGTAGGGGTAGATGAAAGAAGGGAGACCTTTGTGGGTTCACAATGCTTAGGGACAGAGGCAGGGCTCCAAGGGGAAAATCAAGTATAGAGTTAGGGTTTCATTGGCGGTGGGGGAGTCTTCTACAAGGTTCCATAACCAAAACAGTTTGGTAACTGCTGACTTTGAGAGTCTTGGCAAGTTGCAAGAAATCAATTACTTCTTGCAAAATGTAGCAAGCTGCAGGGCTATTCTCTGAGCTAGAGATGTGTACTCTTACAGACCTTTCTCTTCCCAGGAACGGAGTCTACCCCAAATTGGGGAATCTGTATCTTAGATAATGCATTGAAAGTGGAGACTTGAGGCTAAATGCTGAGATCTGACAACCCTGTGTGCTTTGCAGGATCCCATTTCTTCCTGCCCGTTGTTCAAAACTTTTACTGTGCTTCTACTTCTCACTAAAAAGTTATTTCACAGTATGCTAGCCACCTGTGTACAGTGACATCTTTGTGTAACTAAGAGGAGGAAATCGGCTCAACGGATCTATCTTTCTGAATTTCAGGACCGCCTCTTTTTCGTCATGGAGTATGTCAATGGAGGAGACCTAATGTTTCAGATTCAACGCTCACGCAAATTTGATGAACCCCGCTCCCGCTTCTACGCAGCAGAAGTCACATCGGCACTCATGTTCCTCCACCAACACGGCGTCATCTACAGGTACTTTCTTTGTGGGGATGAAATAAGGAATTCTTCAGGCTCTTGGTTCGATATTGGCCAACATCCAACGTTTCTTAGCAACTGGATTGGCTGTTTGCTTCTGCTTGCTTACATAGACCTTCCCCCACTTCTGCCTTTCTTTCCTTTGGAGGACGGGAAGGGGGCAGGAAGGCTGTTTATCATTCCAATGTTAACATCTGAATCGTCTCTGCAGCCATCGCCAGCTGTGGGTGCCAGTTTTGTATTATAAGACAAGCAATGCTTTCTACAAAAGCTTGGCACGCTGTGACCTGGGGTTGACTTTGACAGCAGCTCCCTGCAATCTCCTTGGTTTTCCCCTTCTGCCATCAATTTCCGCCATTTCTGAACTCCCTGCCACTTCCTGAGTTTGTTTGTCCTAGTTGTCTCCATTCTGATAGACCTGGGATAATCATTTTGTGCGGCTTTGTGCATGATGCCCTTTGAATTTGCTCCTGGCCTCCCCAGATCGCCATCTAAACAATAACAAAACACAAGAGGCAAATCTTTTGTTACGCTGTGAAGAATGCACTAGGGCATAAATATTTATTATTAGAAACAAGGAACGACTTGAGAAATTTTCACCTACTATCTCTGTGTTTATGAAGGCCTTTATCTTGTCGTTGCACCCTTCCTCTCCTTTTTTTTTTACCCTCGGGGGAAAAAAGCCCTATACACACACAGACCAGAAATTGGCAGCATTTCACTGTTTCAGATAAATCTTGGCAGGAGTATACAGAATAAACTGCAGTTCAGGGAAGTTGGCTGCAGGATCACTTCTCTTTCATGAAGTGCTTTAGGAGGGTGCAAGCCACAAAGCTCTATTCACACTTTACATGGCGGGAGGGTTTGGCTCAGATACACCAGCAATTTGACTGGCAAACCCCAGAAAACATGAAGCAGGAAGAAGAATGCGTGTTTGTAAGCACATGAGGACATGGAAATGGATGTGGCTTTCTAGCTTTCTTGGCCACTTGGAGCTTCCTAGTCTTTGCTTTCTAAACTCCAGCATATATTAGAACTGCTTTGTGGTTATGTAAGGTGCACCATTCAGTACTCACTAGCCTTTCATTGAAATCACGGTTAAATGTAGAGCCACATGATTTATCATCATAATGTATATCTGATGTTTCTCCCAGCACTGGGACTGAAAACAAAGTTGTAAGTAAAAACAAACAAGGAGCTATTTTAAAATGCAGTTAAATTGTTTTACAGAAATTTAAATCAATCAAAATATTATCATTTCTTTCTATAGAATCATCATTGGATATGGCAGTTTACAAATAATAGAACCATAAAACAGTTCCCTCCCTTCAGGCTCACAATCTATTGAAGACATAGCCCAGAAGGGCAGGGGTGGCAGTGAGGGTGAGAATTAAGCCCAACGAATGATACCTTGTACTTTATTCTGTATGTACAGAACTGAGGAGTAGCTTTAAAAAGGATCAGTTCAGATCCATGCGTAACATATGCATTTCCTTCATTTAGATCAGGGCTTGGCTTCATGTTTATAAACATATCCCTTTCAGGTTAGCCCATTCTGATATAGGCATTTTCAAGGCAGAGCAAGGGGATTAAGATCTTAAAAGGGTGACCCAGAAGTTGGAAACTCTTTTGGTTTTAATCATCTTTGTCCTTGACTCCATGCTTCAAGAAACAGGTGAACTTCACGTGGTTGGAGTTGCCTTTCTTGATAATGGGGGCTTCTCGGTACATCTCATCAACCTCTTCATCTGTGAATCGGTCACCCTTAGTAGTGAGAAGTTCATGTAGATGGTCTTCATAAATGAAGCCTGTGGCCTCCTCATCAAAACAGGCAAAAGCATTGTGGATGACATCCTCTGGATCAGTTGCATTCAGCTTTTCTCCAAACATGGAGAGGAACATAGTGAAGTTGATGGGTCCAGGAGTTTCACTCATCATGCCTTCCAAGTATTCATCAATGGGGTTCTTCTCAAGAGATGCCAACATTCATGCAGATCTTCCTTGTCAATGAACCCACCATGATTTTGGTCTATCATGTTGAACGCCTCCTTGAATTCCTGGATCTGTGACTGGTTGAACATAGCATTGGAGGTGGCACAGTGAGGACACATCTTGTTGGTCTTTTCCTTTGTCGCTTGCTGGACATCTTAGCAGATTTGGTTTGACCTTAACTGGGTCAAACTTGACAACAAATCTGTAAGGTTAGGTCACTTTGATTCCTGTTCGTCAGATGGCCCTCTGAATACAAAAACCTAGGACAGGCAGAGCACAGGAAATCACATTTTTCGGACTAAAGTTTGGTGAATCTGGAATAGAAAGTCCAAACTTTCCCAATATTTTCAAATGATACCTCTACTTCTCTCCCTCCAAGGCCAAGGCAGTGGCAGTTGGGATGAAAGGAGGGTCTTTCATCCGATGCTGCTGAGGTTGAGGCATAATGGAGCTGTGTCTGCTTTTTTTCTCTCCTTCTACTGTCCAGAGAAGCAGCAGTTGGGATGAAGGGAGAGCCTTGGTTTTCTTCTCTTCTTCTGGGACCAGGGCAGTGGTAGTTAGGGTGGAAGGAGGGTCTTTCACCTGTTTTTGGGCATAGGTAGAATGGAAGTCTCCAGTAGCAGTTGGATGCAGTGAGAATGTTTCCTCTGCTATTGCACCAAGGCAATACGGAGTTAGGCCAAAGTCAACATTAAGATCAACTGACAATTAAGATCTGCAAACTATTAAAAGTTCTAACAATCAATTTTACTTCCTGATAGAAGGATAGCAAAGCGAAGACATTGTAGTTCTCTATAGGGGATGTCACAGAGAAGATAATCACTTTTGTTTACATCACACACGCCTAGAAGGAGATTGGGACTAAGACCATTCTTGGACTGCCCAAGTTTGTTTATATTGGAAGATCTAGTTCTTGAGATTTTATTTATTTTGTTTACTTTATAGCCTAGAGTTCTTCCAAAATTGGATGCAAGACACCTACAGTAGAATGATGCAGTATGGTTCTCAGTGGGCTGTGGGGCAAGATTTATTTATCTATCCTCTTCGTCCTGGAAAGAAGTGATGAGTGGAGTGCCACAGGGTTCTGTCCTGAGCCCGGTCCTGTTCAACATCTTTATTAATGACTTAGATGAAGGGTTAGAAGCCATGATCATCAAATTTGCAGATGACACCAAATTGGGAGGGATAGCCAATACCCCAGAAGACAGGAGCAGAATTCAAAACCATCTGAAGAGATTGGAAAGATGGGCCAAAACTAACAAACGCCTCCTTGATGAAGTTCAAGAGTGACAAATGCAAGATACTCCACTTAGGCAGAAAAAAATGAAATGCAAAGATACAGAATGGGGGACGCCTGGCTCGACAGCAGTACGCGTGAATAAGATCTTGGAGTCCTCGTGGACAACAAGTTAAACATGACCCAACAATGTCATGTGGTAGCAAAAAACAAAACAAAACAAAACAATGGGATTTTGGCCTGCATAAATAGGAGTATAGTGCCTAGATCCAGCGAAGTCATGCTACCCCTCTATTCTGCCTTGATCAGACCACATCTGGAATACTGTGTCCAATTCTGAGCACCACAATTGAAGGGAGATGTTGACAAGTTGGAATGTGTCCAGAAGAGGGCGACTAAAATGATCAAGGGTCTGGAGAACAAGCCCTAAGAGGAGTGGCTTAAAGAGCTGGGCATGTTTAGCCTTCAGAAGATAAGGCTGAGAGGAGACATGGTGGCCATGTATAAATATGTGAGGGGAAGTCATAGGGAAGAAGGAGCAAGGTCGTGTTTTTGTTGACCTGGAGACTAGGAAGCGGAACAATGGCTTCAAACTGTAGGAAAGGAGATTCCACCTGAACATTAGGAAGAACTTCCTGACTGTGAAAGCCGTTCAGCAGTGGAACTCTCTGCCTCAAAGTGTGGTGGAAGCTCCTTCTTTGGAGGCCTTTAAGCAGAGGCTAGATGTTCATCTGTTGGGGGAGCTTTGAATGCACTTTTCCTGCTTCTTGGCAGGGCGTTGGATTAGATGGCCCAAAAGATCGCTTCCAACTCTATGATTCTATGATTCTATGGTCCTATCAGAAGCAAACGAAAGGTACAGTTGTGTTGTATTTTAAAACACAAAAGTTTAAAAATGTCCTTTGACCAGTAGCTGGCCACTTGGAGTGCCTCTGGTGTTGCTATAAGAAGGTCCTCTATTGTACATGTGGCAGGGCTCAGATTGCATTGTAATAGGTGGTCTGTGGTTTGCTGTTCTCCACACTCGCATGTTGTGGACTCCACTTTGTGGCCCCATTTCTTAAGGTGCCAGAGTGCCGCCTGTTCAGTGCCTTCCAAGTCACCCAGTCTTTTGTGTGTCCAGGAGGGAGTCTCTCATCTGATATCAGCCATGGATTGAGGTTCCGGGTTTGAGCCTGCCACTTTTGGACTCTCGCCTGCTGAGGTGTTCCTGCGAGTATCATTGTAGATCTTTTAAAAACTATTTCTTGATTTAAGGCAATGGCATGGTGGCTGATATCTGAACAGGGGATGAGCCAGAGATGTGACTGCCTTGGTTCTTTCATTATTGACTGCTACTTCCCAACAGATGCCAGGTGGTGCCCCATACAGTATTACTGGGGTTCATTTGTTGTTCCTGCAGTTATTTTAATGTGTAGAAGAGGAGTCTGGTGAAATCAGTGTCAGTAGGTAGGGGAATACCCATTGGGTCTGAACTTTCAAAATCCTATCCAAAGTGCTGAATCAGTGGAGGCAGATTTGACTGTTTAGCACCATGGAAAAAACATTTAAAATTTGGACTGAAACCTGCAGTTGATTCAGTTAACCACTGAAATAAGAGCCACTGTTGATCGGAGAACAATAGCTCCTCTTCTTTAAAAAGCTAGAGACTACTCAACCCTTGGGAAAATAAGTCCTCTTTCCATTCAAATATTCATCCTTCCAAAATGATGCAAAATTCAGATTGACCTTAGGACAATTATACTGCAGCTACGAAAGAAGACAAGTT